TTTAACCATGGGAGATGAATGGATATTAATATATATATATATTAATTTCTGTTTGAACGAAGTTTGAACCACCAATCTAGACCCCTTCATGATCAGGTTCTTGGGTGAATGAACCCTGGCGGTGCCAGGTCCAGTAGCATTCCCTTTCTAGGGATGGAAAATCCAACACAAACGATACCACCAACAACAAGGACTTTACAGATAATCATCCAATCTTCAGGGGAAGTAACATATCTTAAACATATCTTAAACCACCTACCAGTTGCAGAGGTTTTGATTCATGGGTTTTGTCTCAAAATAGGCCATCCTGGACCGCCGCAGTGCCCCTTTTTAACATGCAACTTTGGTGAGTTCCCTATTTTCTTTGCCACTTTGATGATTTCAAAGAAATAACCGGCAACTTCCCTTATAAATGGGGCACTTTGACTTTCCAGCCCTCAGGTGCGCCAGCTCAGTTTTTTTCATGCGCTTCAGTTTTCAGAGATCTTGGCAGCAACATGAAGATTGGCCTGAACCGCCGTGGTGTCTGATCACAGGGATCCAACATACAAATATAGGATGAAGGTTTCATGTTTCATAAAGAAGATTTACTATACTGCACCAACGATATACATATAGATGTTACGATGGTAGATCCAAGGTCATGCAGGCATCCCTTGCTATACTGTCATATTTCCTTGTAACACCAGCTATGCCCCAACAATCTATATTGTTGAACGGGGGCATGTATGTTGAATCAAGTAATATAATTCCAAAATACATGGGGTATCTCTTTGGTGAGTTTTTCCACATCTAATGCGCCCAGCGGTTGCCATCAACTGCCGCACCACATGGCCCTTCAGCTGAAGCTGCGTTCCTGAGGGTCAGGAGGGGCAGCCTTCAATTGTTGATGTGATGTTGGCAGAGGGTAATTCCATGGCTAGCCACTATATGTAGGATTTCGTCCTGCCCGCACATTTCAATTCCAACAAAAAACAATATATATATATATATATGCATTATCTGATATATAACGAACTATATATATATAATCTATCTGTTGGGGAATCTTCATGGGTATTTCCCACAATGGGCGATGATCGAAAATACCTTGAAAGGGTCAATTCTTGAGTATTTTCGATCATCGGTCATTTGGAGAAATACTTTCTTTTTTAGCCACACCAAAGTTGTCATTTTGCATTGGAAGATAATGGTGCTATGTCTGCAGGACTGGTGACCTTGAGCCTTGCATTCCTGCTTTATCTTCATATCGAAGCTCGTCTGTAAACCCCGGGGTCTTGGGGAATCCTGGCCACGCCTTCCACCACTCTAGCACATCCAACCCCACAGTCCTCCAGCTCAGGAAGACATTGGATCCTGCGGTGGGAGCAGCATGGTCACACTGGCAAGATTGATGGGTTGAGGCAGCGCTTCATACCTGAATTTTAGCACCCAAAAGACTTTAAGCATGATCCCCGTAGGATTTTGACTTAAGCAGCCGCTTTTGGGTTTGACTGGCCACATGGCGACTTCAGATGTTTCGGGTGAGTTAGCAGCGCTATGGGAAGCAGAGACCATTATCAGGGCCAGATTCAGGAAGGGTCTTGATTGGGTTCAGTGGCCAGAAAGCAGCCTGGACGCACCAGAAGAGGTGGAGTCTGAGGAAGTAGATGGCATGATTATCCCCAGACATCCGGTCTGTACAAAGGCTGTCTCCATGAACGCTTGTGCATTGAATGTCATGCTTGACTTCTTCGAAGGGGCCTTCATTGAAGTTCCCACACTTCAGACGGAGGCGCCCTCCGCTGCTCCATTGCTTTGAATAACAACGGAATTATAGTTATATATGGGGATATGTATCCAACAAAGGGGGGCCCCAAACCTTAAAAAATAAACCCAAATTTCAACTTTTGGGGCACCCCTTCTTCTCAGACATTCCCACAGACTACACACACATGTCCATCAAGTCTTCCCATAAACAAGCTCTATTTTGGTTTCATTTAGGTGAAAGAACTCTTCAAGATGGTGAGGCACGAGCCCACCAACATGAAGCGGGAGACCTACATCAACGCTTGGGACTTAAGGAGGCTCTACACTTTCTCCTTCCGCAGACAGCGGGACGCGGCTAAGAGAGGGCAGCGACCCCGGGACTGGTTTGGGAATGTTTGGGAAACATCCGGTTCATGTCAAATGCTCATACCAGCCAACGGTATTTTCCAAGTATAACCTCGTTACCATTTTCATGTTTTCAAACACCGGGGTTTCTTTTCTGATTCCCTGTGAGGATCCCAAAGTTCGTGATCTTTTTGACAAAATTGCCAAGTACCGCAAGATGTGGAGTTTGCAGTTGAACACTTGGTCGGATTGGGGGGATGACGTTGACGCACAGGACGATGATCAGTATACCAATGCCGGGGATTCCAATAGTCCTTCACCTGACCCTTCCCCTTCGGGACATGTGCCTGGAAAGGTTGGAGCCTCACCACTCTATGAGGAGATGAAAGCGGTATGCGCCGACGTGGGGATGACCCCGGACCAGGAGAAGGAACTTCATGACATGCTGATGCAGATTCAAGAGTTCGAGTCCGATACGCCCAAGAATGTTAAGTGTTTTTCTCAGCTTTTTCCCTTTATCCTGCCATTGGGCAGTACATGCCAATGCCTTTGATATTTGATGTTGTTGGGCTCCCAAATGTTTTACCATGCCACTCTGGGCACCTAGGCCAGGAGTCACACCTACGGGCCTGACACGCAAGAGAAGTAGTTTGGTTGCAACCACGGCACTTTCAATAATAAGTGTTAAACTAATGCATTCTCATTGGTCTTGAGTATATGTCTTGGTGTTGGTGTACCCCAGGTAAGTCAGCTCAACCTGCTCTCCCTGCGCCGCCTACTGTAGACCCGAGCCAGGCCGTTTTCTCACATCATGCAACGACGCACCACCATGTGACAAAATATGACGAAACAATATAATTTACCGTTATGTACATTCTCTTTTTCTTAGACGGCGCTATCACGTGCTATCTTCTTCTGCCATTTGCTACCGCATGTGGCTGCCAGGTGGATACTTTGCCCATGCCAGCTTCGCCGATCTTCACGGCCGAGACGGAGCCCACGAAGACCACAGAGACCACGAAGACCACGGATGAGGCTTTAGATGGAAAAACATATATATATATATATATATATCTATATATTTCATTAGTGATACATAAAGTTTTATCACCTTTAAAAAAACATTGACATGACGAAACCTTTCCACCAAATTTCATGGGACCCTGAAGGCAAAGGAGCCGTCAGGTGCTCCTGGAAAGAACAAGGCAAAGGGTAAGGATTCCAAGACTCGAAAGGCCAAGAAGACCACCCCCAAAAATGTAACTTCCAAAGGGAAAAAGGAACGCAGGCGAAACATTTGGAAATCCACATCCCAGGCATCCTTTACCCCTGAGCAGCTTGGGGAAGAAGCACCTGCCAGCACAGAGTCAAACAAATCTAGGAAGCCCCCAGCCAAGGCTGAACCAAAGAGTAAGGCCATGGCAAAGGCCAAAGCAAAGACCGCACACAAAGCAAGGTCTAAGTCCCCAAATGTTGCCAACACAGAGGCAAAGGTGTATCAGAACCGCCTTCAGGATGGCAAGAGGTGGGTTTATGAAATCTTACCAAACCAGGTGTATGGTTGCAAGACCTGTCGGTTTATTTTTGGGGGCTGCAAGACTTGTCGCAAGGAAGGGTTCCGTGGCACATCGGCAGCAGTTGCCAGACCGCTTCAGGGTGGCGTCTTGGTTGAGCCCGCTCAGCGTGGGCTGCGGAGGAGGGGAAAGGGAGCAGCAGGAACCAGCAAATGCAGGAAAACAGAAGCAGAGTGAGCTAAGCTAGCCTGAGCTTTATGGACGTGTGTCCCGGAAACTCGGTTCAATTTCCTCTTGAGTTCTCATGAATGCTTTTGTTAAGAGGATGGCCCCAGATATACATTTATGTAGATATGAACATGTCCCCATATGTTAGGACAAAGCATGTAGATATGGATCCATCATATTGACGGTTTCTTCAAGACTTTGAGGCTGAAACCTCCAAAACTTTTATGTGGTGTCGTTTCTGGGTGACCCTTCTCGATTATCAAACCTGAAAATCCATTGTGCCCGTCCTCAGGTATCTCAGAATCTCGTCCATGGCTTCATGTTGCAAAAGCTCTTCATCGCCACCTGTGCCAGCGGCGCTCGTGCAAACATGAGCATATTTGGGTTTTTTGGTGGCTGGAAACCACATGTCATTGGGACCCTGGAATCTTATTCCTGCGTCAAACCCCTGCAAGAACTGGTTGATAATTTTGTTGCCCAAGCATGTGCGGCCTGTCCAGCTGCCATATCATACAAGTGTCGTGCTAAGTTCTGTGGTCCAGGGCTGGGGGAATCAGCCTGCCTAACCGCACAATACAAGACTTTGCTGCGCCAGTGACAAGGGAAAATTGTGGACCCGCTAAGTGTGGCAACATGTGCAACTGCATCCACCCCATCCATTCTGTAGCTACAGAAAGCAGCTTTGCATGCAACATATCCATCTATTTTCATCACAAATGTATATCGATTTTTTTCTATGTTATGGACTGACCTGTTCTTTTGAATCAAGGTTGCATGCATGTCGAATGAAAGCATCTAACCCGTCAAACAGCCCATTTCATTCCAGTGATACGAGAAAGAATCTGGGGCCAAAAAACTTGCTGCCAGGTCCGTTGCCGATGAGCTTTGCTTGGAGGCTCCGCCACACCCAGATCAAGAAGAAATCAGGTACCTACCCCTACCCTTGCTATTGCCAGCTTGTCAGGGGGATGCTGGGATATCATACCGTTGGATTCATTACTTCAAGTATATACAATCATTTTAAATCATTTAGATATTATCACTGAAATCATGGTGGAGGAGATTGAGCAACACTCCGAAACAAATGCCATTCCAACTATTATATTGGCTCAGCAATGCCTATAGCGAACATTGGCCGGGTCTTGAGGGACAACTCGGTTCGCCATGCCCATGCCTGACAAAAAGCTCCGTGAGATCCTCCGCAGACTTCTCATTCTTGATGCGCCTAGAGTTGCTTGGCTTGAGGTGTCCAGGTTAAGGCCGGCTTCTAGACAGTGGATACCTATATGTATATATATATATTATACTGTTTAGTTCTGGGTTTTCAATTTTAAGACCAAACCCCAGGCGCTCTGAAACATGTAAGGTTCTATTGCTGGCCATTGTGTTGCTGGTGCACACTGAAGGATTGGAGTGGGCTGAGGCAGTTGTGGGAGTCTGGGGCTGCCGTTCAGGTGATGTCAGCATCCAGCTTATCACATTGCATATGCACGCATAATATTAATATATATATATATATACTGTCCACTTGTACTATTTTCCATACGTTCTGTATACACATGATCAAGTCATGCTACGTTTGCCTACAAGTACATATGTATATATATATATGTATGAGTATATACATAAATACCTGCTCAGAAAGCCTGAGAACGATTAATGCAAACACATATGTATATAAAGAATATATATATATATATATACATATATATACATATATCATATACACATACATATGTATATATGTGCAACTTAGTACCGAACAGTATTGCGGGCGAGCTGGTCCCCATCTTGACGTCGCAGGTATACGATGCTGTGGAAGTGTTTTGTGGCGTGGCTTCTTTAAGCCGCTGCTTGCAGTTGGGCGGCTACGACACTGCCAGCCTAGACATTGGCCTCTGGAACCCTTGGATGCAAAAGCGCCTATGTTCCAAAAAACGGTTGGGGAAAAAATGCAAAAGGAACCCATTGAACCTTTTGTGTCCAGCTGGGTTTGGGTTTCCTGGCTGTGCTTTTATTTGCAACATTTTCGTAGGTATGGTCCCCGGTGCATGCTATATAGATATGCTCACATGTGATCACCCTTTTTCTGCAAAGTCACGCGTCGTATACAAAAACGTTTTTATCCACGGATCTAAGGCTGCTGTTGTCGGCCATTCTGAATTCCAAAGATGGGGTGGTAGTCGCTTTTGGCTTGGTCTGTTCCACCTTTATAACGATAAGCCGCGGGTCCACCTTTCGACACTACTTCTTGCCAGAAGGGGATCCTCATTCCCTGTCAGTTTCTCAAAGCAATTTGCTGGCAGCAAGGACCAATGGGTTGAAACTATGAATTTATTCACTTAAGACAGAAAAGGGTCATATATATATATGTGTGTTTATATTGAATGCTCAGCCCTGAACTTTGATTTTTTTTCTTGGGTTCGCGCGCCGGCGTTCCCCAAAAGGACCCCAAAATAGGCGCGCGAACCCACTGGAAAAAGCGCAAACCTTTGCTGGGGAGATCACCAACTGAATATTTTAATGGGCACACCAAAAGATTGAATCTGTTCCCTTTTCCCTAGTCCAGTACATGACTAGCTATGCAACCCCTGCAGGACATTTCTCGCCATGCTTGTGGTAATGGCGAAGCAAGGAGTTTGGGTTTTAGAGCAGCCGAGCACAAGCTTGGCATTCCGTCTTCGAGGGTTCCAGAAATTACTTCGAACATGCACTGTTACCAGGCATGAAACAGGATGTATGTAAGTTGTGGCTACGCTATGAAGTTTCCAGCAATTAGAGTTCTAAACAAACGCCATAAACAACTTTTAAAATTGCACAAATCATCACTGAAATGGCAAACCGCCAGAAGGGGGAACATGTTGTAAGTTACTTCCCATTTGCAGTTACCATCCTCCCTTTTTGGGTGATTCTAGGAGATGGGGTCCCAGCCAGTGTTTCTTCGCTGCCTGGCCAAGGTCTTCCGGCAATCATTTTGGATGCGGGGCTTTGGCAGCAAAACGCCAAAGAGAACTACTCTTTGGAGTAACAGCAGTGGTGTCCGATTTTTTTGCACATCGAAGAAAGCCAGGAAGGGTCGTGGTGGTGCTACCCCAAAATTGGCTGACACCTACCGAGATGCCCTTGGGAGGAAGAGATTTAAAGGAAATGCAAATCTTCGCAAAAGTCAGCACCTAGGCGTAATCTAAATCATAGGATGGATGTCGTTCTTGTTTGCCTTCCTATTTTCTTCATATTTCCATGCAGCTAAGGGAATACCCTGTGGGCTTTGGAGTTCGATTCGCAGAAAGCATGAAGCACCTGAAAAAGGAAAGGTCGTCGTTGAAACAACCAAAATGGGCACCTAGACTTACACGACCGGTTCAAAGTGGAGCCCCAAATACCGTTTCAACAAAATGTTTGCTTACCACGTAAAAACTAATTTACAAAAAATCGATGGATCGATACATATATATATAGGCAGATAGATAGATAGATAGATAGATAGATGGATGGATGGATGGATAGATAGATAGATAGATAGATACATAGACAGATAGGTAGATAGGTATAATTATATATATATAAGGAGGCTTTGTAAAAATGGTGGTATACTCTCAAATCATCTAAAAAAATGAACGGCCCATGATTCCGGGGTTCCCCGTGTCTAAAAATATTGACACCGCATATGCCTCGTAAATTCAGAATAAAATGAATCAGGGCAGGGTTCTGTTACACATATTTTCAGATTATATCCCAAGGGGTAAGGCTACAAAAGCCTGTCACCACCCATGTTCGCCACTTCCATCAGCGAACCTGAGGCTCCGGATGCAGAAGATATTCGCTCCTGGCACGTGACTCCAATCCCGGGACTTGATGATCTATATGAAGAAGCACGGATGTATGAGGTCGTGGAATATCTCCAGGGGGGCTTCTTCCTTAACTTACCAGAAGCTTGGGAAGGCTGTAGGTTGCCAAAGGACATCCCTGAAACCGCCAATAGGCCTACGGGGGGCAACCCCTAACTAATCCACGAATCGTGGAAACAACGATTCGATCCCGTTTTGTGCAGACTCTAGGAAAATAGGCAACAGTGGCAGAAATCGGGGACAGTGGCGTAAATACAAGTCAAAGTGGCGTAAAAAACCGTCCATTTTGTACTCCTAAAATAGGCAACTTTGGGCTGTCCCCGGTATTCGGGAAATTCACTCTCGTGTGCGAGCTTAGTGCTGTTCACACGCGCCAATTCATGGGTGATCGACCTTGGCACTGGAAAGAGCCTGAAAGATTTCGAGTTTAGAGATGTTTTGGGACACAATTTACATTCCAGGCGAGCACAATGCATCTTAGGCATGTTTGCCCACATTCGGAGGTCCCATCGTGCAATGTTCCACATGCCAAAGTGTTGCAGTGAATGGTTTAAGGGTTGCGACTGGTGCCTGGACAAACATGGCGTCGGAGCCACCTACCCGACAATGGTCATGTGCGACACTATACCGGGGGTCTAGCTTCCTTGCAGAGCAAAGGGAGGCGAACAAGGAGTTGACCTTTGATGGACTTGTTGCTGTTTCAGGGTTGCAAAATGTTGAAGCCGACAAAGCTCCCATTTAGAGTCCATTTGGTGGCACTATCCTGTCCACCCCGCGCCGTGTTCCCAAGCCACGACCCAGGCTGCAAAGGAGCGCCTGCGAAAGCTGAAGGCGATGCCTGCTGATCCGCCTCAGAGGGCGAGCTCGGTTGAATCCTTCGCTACCCATAGCCCATGTCCGAAGACAAAAGCATCCCCACCCAGTTCAGCAAAGGCATTGAAGAATGTTGACCAGGATAGGGATGTAGATCTGTTTTCAACAGGGACATTGGCCCAACTTCCCGACCCCAGTCTGTTTTTACTTTGTAACCTTGAAGTATGTTTCATCTCATGCAGCCCTTTTCTTGGGTGGGGAATGGGGCAGGAGACCAGCATACCAAAGGCGACATCTTCGGGCTCGAAGCCAGACGCCTCTAAGGGACATCCTAAAGAGGCCACGTAGAATTTCAATTCATATAATATAAGCGTTGACTAGAGCACTGTCTTCGAACTGAAACCTTTTAACTGAGTGCTGTGGAATGGTTGCCCTTGTTTTTCCCCACATGCCTTTGAATTTGATGCTGCTTTCCTGCACCATTCTGGTGCAGGCAGCAGAGACTGAAAGGGATACCGAACCCAAGAAGGCCAGGAATCTGGGAAAAGGATGGCTGGGCATGGAGATGGATGCTTCACACCACCATCAGGGGCCCTTGAATTTTTGAACAGTAGCAGGGAATATACTTAATGTCTAGCTAGAGAGAGAGAGAGATATGGAGAGAGACAGAGAGAGAGATATGGAGAGAGACAGAAAGAGAGAGATATGGAGAGAGACAGAAAGAGATAGAGAGAGAGATATATATATATAGATATAATGAACAGTGTTTGGTCAAGAGTAAACAAAAGAACAAATATAGGTACACATAGAATCTATACTATGTTTGTGTATACACACACACCTACTCAGCTAGCAGCTACACTTCAAACTTTATACCATTCGGTTCGATAAGTACCCGTATTTTTAGGTGTTTAAAAGTACACAGCTATAAACATTCAGTAAAACCATCCAACGACACCCAAACTAGCATACATAAACTACAACATAAGCCCAACATCCACCCCTGAGTAGAATTTGTTTTACCAGTAGGAGTAAGAAATGATCCTAACTCCCCGAAAAGGCTCCAAGCCAAGAATCTTAGCTTTTGTTTGGTTGTTTGGGCTAGCTTGGCCAGCCAGATGGCCTAATAGTGGCTTAAGATGGGCCCAGCATGTGTTCAAAATAGGCTAAAGTGTCTTCTTACGCACGTACCTGTTTAGATGCATACGCACAGGCATGCATACACATGCATACTTACCTACTTAGCTATGTAGCTATAATATTCGGAGCACAGTAGATTACAGTACATTACAATAGGTTTACCAAGCACATGTACAAACCCCAAATATCTCCAATTGATGCACAAAACTCGCCCCTCCTAGTTAACCTCCCGCCACCGCAGGCTGATGCAGATGACGATGCCAGGATGATGTCGTCGTTGGCTGCTGCTTTGCGCCGCATTTGTATGCCGAAACCTGCCAGCGGAAAGCTGGAGGTTTCCCAGGAGATCCACAGGCAGTTCAAAGCTGGAGGTCAACAGCGAAAATGCTTGTTGGACATGTTGGTGAAATCTAAGGGCAACAAGGACCAGTGTTGTTTATTGTCTCCATGTTTTGGTTTTAATTTTATCATTGAACACCCCATATGAAGATAGAACAATGTACCAACACGCGGTTGTCAGATCCCCTCAAAGGAAGTATTTCTGAAAACCATCGAGCACCAGCAGAAAAAGTCCCGGAAGAACAACTTGCATGTGGAAAAGGGGTTCTACACCAAAGCAAACATGAAGAAGGACTTAGGATGGGATGCGTCCCCTTCTTAGATCAGCCCTTCACCAATTGACCAATAGCAGTATGAGCTTGAAATCTGAATTCCTTCCCATTCCGGGTCCCTGCAAACAACTGAGGGATAGGATTAAAGCTGCAGTGAAATACTGCGCTGACCCACGCAGAGCCAAGACTCACGTCAGGCTTGGGGGCCCAATTTCTCTTTGAGAATTTCAAAAATCATGGTGTCCACATGGGTTTTGATCTTTCTACTCCCCCATCTTCGGTTAGCCCCCATGCAGGCGGGACAAATACCAGAGCCACATCAAGGAGTATTGGGTGGATGTGCAAACAACCGGCAGTTTCGATGATGAGAATGAAGAAACCTTTGTAGATAAGACCACGGGGGAGGGACAAGCTGCGTCCTTCGACTTGGGGCTCCCAGCCACTGACCCATGCGCAGCAGCACGAGGTGAAGATGAGCCTGAGCCAGTGGACACCGACCATGAGGTCGACGATGACATGGACGACGGCACCAGCAGCAGAATGAGCAGAACACGGGTTCCCCCCAGAAGTGAAGTTCAAAAAGAACACGCCCTAGAGGCTGGGTCCACAAAAAAGGTGAAATTGTAAACATATTCTTTAGGATCTTTGGTTTGCCGCATGCTTCAACTGTCCATGCCTTTGGGAGGCCATTGAGAATGTTGGGACTGTGATGTCACAACTCTTGAAAGTTCAGTCTCGCATGGAGATTGCCCGGGACAAGCTTTCAAATATCGATGGCAACGAAGCCCAAGAGTTTTTGATCTGCAGCATTAACATGCCATGACGAAACATGCGCATTCGAATTTTGAATTGGTAGACCCAACTGTTCTTCGTAAGGAGCATGGCCAAAGTTGAGAAGTTTCGCACCAGCTTGATGAAATTGCATGACGAGTTGGCGGACCTCAAGTCCTTTTTTGATGGGCATATGAGTGACGATGCTTTTGATGATGGGAGTCTTGGTGGGCCAATCCTTCAAGCATGAAAAAATCCTTTGAGTCCACATTGCCTACTCCTCATTCTTCACCTCATCATGTGCTTAAGGAAAACGAAGGCGCTTCACGAAACTATCCGGAAAATCGAAGTCGAGCTGGGATCCTAGAGTCTTACAACCCCACGTGCATGCAATGTGGGGGGTACCTAAAACTTTGTCCTGTTAACCTGCCACCATTTGCCTTGAGGTCATCCCGTGCCTTGATGGAGGATACAAAGCTGAGAAAGCTTGGGCCTGAAAAACAAAACTATGATAGTTTCATATTTGGCCATATGTCACTGAAATCATAGATCCTTTTCTCAAGACTTAGGACAATTCTGAAGGCTCCGCGAGCTGCCTCTGCCACCCCGAAGGCAAAGGCTAAGTCAAAAGCTGCTCCCAAAAAGAGGTCCAAGAAGGCTGCCCCCGTGGAGGATGAGGAAGAAGCCCCCCCAACTACCAGGGGAAGGGGAGGGGAAAGCGCCTTCGAAAGTCTTCTTGAGGCGGAGGCGGTCTGCATACACAGAGAGAGCTAGAGAGAGAGAGAGAGAGAGAGATAGAGAGAGATAGAGAGAGAGAGAGAGAGAGATAGAAGGATAGATAGAAATCTATCTCTCTCTCTCTCTCTCTGTCTGTCTGTCTGTCTATCTATCTAGCTAGCTAGCTACCTACCTACCGAATCTGTCTATCTGTCTATCTGTCTGTCTGTCTATCAATGTCTATCTACCTATCTGTCTACCTATCTATCTACCTATCTTTCTATCTATCTGTCTGTCTGTCTATCATTGTCTGTCTACCTATCTGTCTACCTATCTATCTACCTATCTTTCTATCTATCTGTCTGTCTATCTATCTATCTGTCTATCTATCTACCTACCTATCTATCTATCTATCGATCGATCGATCTATCGATCTATCGATCTATCGATCTATCTATCTATCTATCTATCTATCTATCTATCTATCTTTGTACCTATCTATCGATCGATCTATCCATCGATCTATCTATAGATCTATCTATCGATCTATGTCTAAATTTGTTGTCGTTTAAACTGTCCCGGGTGTTGGCCTGGGTTTATCTTCGGGTGCCACCAGAGTTCAGCCATGTGCCCATCCAGCGGCTTCTGCAGGCCCCAGCGCCTGGTTGCGACTGAATGGGCTTTTTGTGCATGGGAGACACATCATCTCCTGTCAATCCTTGCCACCTTTAGTGTGGTCTTTTGGGTGTGGACGCATGGCCCCGAAGAGAAGTTTTAAAACACAAGACAACTTGAATGTCCCATTCTTTCCATTACCACTTGGTTTTTGTTTTGGGGGCATTGCGTGAGGCCTTCACGTGCTGGATTTCCAGCAAGCACGGTTTGCGAAATCAATTTCGATCGGCAATTCTACCTCAGAGAGGGTATCAAATTTGATTTGGGGAACAGATCTTTGCAGAAAAGAACCTTTAAAAAGTGAAAGAGGCATGTTGGCGCTGCCCTGGCAACATTTCCAACAAACAAAAGAGCCAAAAAGGAACCCCCCCGGGTTCCTTTTTGGATGTTTCATATGTTTTCTATGAAAAAAACATATGTTTTTGGGGTATCATTGTGGTTGGCACCACTTTGCCCACGCAGGTCCACGGCCTCCACCAGAAGCGCCAGCACCAGCAAAGTTCAAGAGCGGTCCTGCTGCCAAAGCGCTTGCCAAAGCAGTGGCCAGTGGAGCTACTTGGCTTTGGTCTTGGTTTTGGGGGCCCCTGTTTGAATGGAAATTGGCATCTACAAGCTGACCTCCAATGCTGCGCCATCAGGTATCAGAAGCTGAAGCTTGCGCCCTTGCCCTGGCATTTTGGGAAGAGTTTTCACACCTTGTGCCTCCTAAAGCTGCCCCTCCAAGTTCGCAGTTCTTACGGATGGCAACCCGGTTATCCAAGACTCGTCATGAATGCAGGTTTGTTCACAATTTTGCTGACTATGGCCTAGCGGCCGACATTCCGCTAAGTTTCTACGATGTGGGACTGAAAGGAAAACACCCTGCATTGGCATTGTCTGACATCGTCAAGTGCTTTGACCAAAAGAACAAACTGGAGGTTCTTACACAAGGGCATGGCGAACGTGAATTCAAACAATTCTGGGAAACATGGCGGCTGGTACAGCCGAAGCACCCGATTTTTGAGACTCATCGAGGTCGAGAGGGGCAGTGCATACCAGTCTGCGTACATTGCGATGAAGGAACGACTTTGAAAAAAAGAAGTATCATGATCATACAGGTGGAGCCATTGATGGGAAAAGGCACACGCAAACGTAAAAGCACGCAGGATGAGCCAGGCTGCAACTTGCTGGGTTCCTCTGTCACAAACCGTGTTTTGTGGAGTGTGATGCTATCACGTGTATACTCTGGCAAAAAACTTGGTAACAAGCCCTATTGCTGAAGCTGATCGATCATCTAGCTACGCAGCTGTCTGGCGCATTTTACAATGGTTTTGATCTTGCTCGCGAATCGAAGAAGATCTACATGGTTCCGATCGCCATGAAGGGCGACTGGCCCGCTTTGGCGAAGGTGGGCACATTATTGCGGCATTTTGGGCGGCAAGTGAAATCTGGAAACGGTGGTGGCCATGGTATTTGTCACCTGTGCCAAGCAGACCGGCCATCCTTCGAGAATTGGCATGATGTGAGCTGGGCAAACATGTGCAAAATGCACAATGGTTGTCTACTACCATGGGTGCGTGAGCCCGGACTCTTGGCGGCGGTCCCGATCCCCGATGAATACAAGGCAGAATTCTTTCGCTTCGACATTTTCCATGCATTGCACAAAGGATTGATGGCAGACATGGCGGCCAATGCGATTGTGTTTTGGCTTTTTTTTGGGCAGCTTTGGTGTGGGTCCCCTATAGCTCTTCCGGTCAGGAACAACTTTTTGTAATGCTGCCTGTAGAATATCAGGTCTGCTGCTTCGACGGCGAAGTCTTTGGGGCAGGTTCTTTTGAGCGTCTTTGTGACGTTTGCTTTGCTGAGCTCAAGGAATTCTGCAGAAGCCACTCCATGACACTCCACATGAGCGGCCTAACCCGCACTCTGTTGGGTTTCATGCGCTCTAGCGACTATCCTACAGGGAAACTCTGCTATATCTTAACGCGTTTTTCTTTTTCTAAATTGATGTCCTTATCACAGTGCTCTACACCTCCTTCGGCCCAAAAGAACGGAAGCTTTTGCCCACAAAAGTGTAATTATCTACCTGCTTCAGGGATACTGCTGCTGACGTGTAGTTCAACCTTCGCACAGCATATCGCTTCGAAAAAATATTTTTTCTGTTCAACCCATTGCTTTTGCGGTTGGGAGTTGGCATCAGCCTAGGAATTGGTTCAAAGGAGCCGATACTGTGTGCATTTTGGCCTTTCTGGAGTCGCGGATTGCAGAGTTGCTGGCTGATTTGGACGATTCTGCCAAATCCCTTTTTTCGGAAATTTATGAGATGATAGCTGCAGCACATAGCTTCATGCGTTGCATTTACCACTCAGCGCTCTGGCTGACTTCGGATGAACGAGACCATCTCCTGATTTCTGGCCACAAGTGCGTAAACTATTTCCACAAGTGTGCCCAAAGGGCCTTTGATGCGCACGTGACACGATGGAAATACATGCCCAAGATTCACCTTTTTGGTGAGATCCTGTTTTTCTTAGAGCGCGACAAGCGAAGGAATATTCCCAGTTTAAACCCCCTTTCGTTTTGCACGCAGCAAGACGAAGATTTTGTTGGCAGGATTGCAGTCCTATCGCGTGCTGTATCGGTTAGAACGGTGCACTCGCGTACGATAGGTCGCTACTTAGTGTCTTTGGCATCCAGTTGGTGACACTTTTCCCATCAAGGCTACGGTTATATGATCAAATTCTTGACAACACGTTTCAAGGAAACAATTTTCAGTGTTCACCCACGGTGCCGCATCTGTCCTCGGACGACCATAGCAGCTTCAGTCGAAGCATGTTGGTGGCTGCTGTGAAGGCAAATGTTTTCAACTTTACATGTTCAAGAAACATTCTGGGTGATATGAGGTCCCATTTTGCTAAGATGATTTTGATTTGTTGATTACAGCCTCCAAACCAAGTTGCATCAAACCCAAAGCATTGCTTGAGACGGACCAAGGCAAGGCTGGAAATGGCAGGGGGGGAAGTGGCAGGAATGTGGAAACAAAACCGGCTACTTTGCATGGTTGCCTATTTTTATAGGCAACCAGGTTTTCCAGGATCCCCGAAGATGAGGATTTTTTGTTGATCACTTTCCCATACTTTCAGCCCCATATGGGGCCCAAAAATTCCAGCACCAAGGTGCTGAGCTGCGAACTCTTGCGGAACTTGCGGTTCAGCTGGTTGCGGAAGCCCGGCGGCGCCCTGGAGCCCCTGGAGACCCATTCGTCCACGTCGGGTTGCTCCAGTAGACCGTTCTGAGTGATGTCCTGAACAAAGGGCGACCCGGGTCGGATCGATGGCTGAGACCAGGTTTCGGGGATACAGCTATGGCAGCTATGGCATGGAAGCTCACTATTTCACGTTTGCCAAAGACATTCACCAACTTAGGGGTGACCTAACCCTAGAGGCTTCATGCAGTAGTTTTAATGCTCGGGTGTCAACTCTGAACTCAGCTCATTGGGGTTTCTTTAAATGGGGATTCTCAAGTCACCATGAGTTTCAATAGTCAGTCATGGTCATCCATGACCTGGATGATCTGGGGTACCCCCATTTTGGGATCCACAACAGTGACTTTCTGAGCAAAATTTTCCATTAGGATGACCACTGGGGGCACATCCCCAATTTTCAGGCCCAACTAGTAACTACTATTGTTGAGTATATACAGATATTCATAGATATTCCGTTGATCCAATCAATTTCCCATATGATATCCACTATTCCATCACACCAACGCTTCATCTCTCCCACATTTCTGGATCACTGTGGTCACCGACTTTTTTGACTTTTTTGGTGTGGCCAGGCGATCCAAGTGATCCTTAAGTGATCCAAGTGATCCTTAAGTGATCCTTAAGTGATCCAAGCGTCTAACTCTGAAAAGTTGTTCATAATGACTCGGATTTCTTCCAGTGATACAGATTGGTTCTTCCTCAGGCGACAAGAAAGATAACTTTTTCACGGAGAATGGCTGGATATCTCTGATCCAACACCACCCGGAGGGGGTTCATCTAGGATCATCTAAGTATGATATATATATATATACACCTGTTGAACAACATGGTTGGGATTTGGGGACAATCTGCTTGTGGCTTTACAAACTTACTCTACTTTCGGAGGATACAATATGAACTCATTCTGTAGTCTGCAATCTAAACGGCATTGCCTACACGAAATAGATCGAATAGATTAGCTCCATGGGTCACTCCAACCCGCAAGCCCAGTGCAACTTAAGCAGCGTGAGCATGAAACACAGGAATTCAAATGGAGTGATTTGCCTCAGGCGACGACATACGGCGACGATTGGACCCCCGAAAAAAACAGCACAGATTGATGATGATTGATGGGTGTCTCCACAAAACTAGAGACAAAGTCTATTCTGAGACAACGCAGAACTAATATCATTTTGCAAATGAGTTCCCATCTTGTCCAGCAGAGAAAATCGAGATGAACTTTTCGTTCTGTTTTGTAATCTGGAATGCTCCCACCAAAACACCCCTTAAGTCTAACATGGAAGCCCAAAAATGGCTATATATCCAACTCTAGAACATCATCTTCCATGGCCATATGGCCGGTTCACGATGCCCGAGGATTACAAATGTTTTCGTCAACTCCAAACAACATCCCGAAGTGTCTGTTGTTAGTGGTATATAACAGCAATACAGTGTGTATATATATATTATATCATATAATATCCTCATGGATTTAACCAGTATTAATTATCTATTATCATCCATTACTAACCATTATTAACCATTATCAACCATTATTAATCACTATTAACCATTATTAACTATTAACCATTATTAACCATTATTAGTCATATCCTATGAGATGCTTCTATAATTCGACCTCATGGGTATATCACACTATCCTTACAGTAATACGGTCAACGGTCTTGGGGACGTCACAACGAGGTACCGCTGGGGCCCCCAGAAATGGATTCGATCAACTGCAAAATTGGGTCATAATGTTAGTTTAGACCACCCAACTTATCCGATAGTTATAAGCTATACCCCCTCTGGTTATTTAACATAGCCATGGAAAATGGTCCATTTATAGATGATTCTCCCATTAAAACCTCCATTTAGTAGGGATTTTCCATGGCTATGTTAAATAACCAGATGGTAATTACAATTATCTGGGTAATTATATGTAATTATAATATTTCACTAACCTGAATTAAGGCCTCCAATCTTCCTTAGCGGGCCCAAGAATGAAGGCCATTTGGGATCATTTCCCCTACTAACTATGGGGATTATACACTAACTAACATGTTCACCGGCCCGTCGTGCCATGGCGCTCTCGTCTACTTGACTGTGGCTTGGAGTTGTAGGCATTCGCCCGCCACCTAGAAGTGGCACTGTGCCAAAAGGCAAAACAAATGGGACGAATTTCCTGGGGAGTATCAACAACAAATGTGGGAAGTAAGCAACTCATATGAGATATAATGATATTATAATGGGATTTTATTGGGATATATACAAACCAACCATAGGATGTCCGGTGTGTCTGAAGCAGGGACTGGTGATTATATAGTCTATGGATTTGGTGGCACCCTATTTCAGACACACGCATATCATACAATCCTATAGCAAACCACCGGCAATACATCAAACATCATGAAATATCAGGAAATATCAAAACAACGTCTGACACATCCACTACAAAATATCAACAGCAAACGGATAAACCGGAGATCAACATAGATCAACCAACACTTCTGGGGATATGCTCTAATTAATCTACGAGACCCGGAATATATCAATCACCAGTGAAGAAACGACGACCATTGTGATGCAACAAAAGTCCAGACTCTAGCCCTCCAAACATCTTCCCGATGATGACTTTAATCTTTCTATCCGATTGCACCCATGATTACGCCCATTCCATTCCCATACAGTAAATTCCATGATTACAGGGCCAGGGGTAGTTCCTGACCTTTCTGAAATAAAACATTGTGGCATCAGCTAGTGACTAGTGACAATTATATATATATGGGGTCGCGTCAAAATTCGGGTATGGATCGGCCCGCGGTGATCCAGACGTATGGAACGGTCTGGATCACCTGCGTTTTGGTATGGATCGGGGGTATGGATCGGCTTGTGGGTTCAGGGTATGGATCGGGGCTTTACATTTTGACTCGCAGCCATATATTATATATAGGTCTTTTGTTTGTCCCACAGATTTGAGAGTCAAACTGATGCTTTTGATCCCTGTAAACCGAGAGATGCGCATTCCCCCGCTCCTCAATCAGCAATGCAGTTTATATTGGTTTTACATTTTACATAGTTTTACAGGGTTACGTAAGATAGTTTCTCCACCTGTTTTGTTTGGTGCTAGTCTCCCGACTTGATCTCCACTTGTTGGTGATAGTCTGCTGTTGACATAACTTTCGCCCAGTGACATCTGGTCGGTAAAATCAATCAGCCTTCCAAGGTGCGATGGATCAGGTCTGATGACAAACTCTGTGATGTTTTGGGCCAGGCACCAATGGTTATTACATATTGATACCATCAGCATGGGTGGTCAAATACCCAGCAGTGGATTGATTTTTGTTTTTTTGTTTTTACTAAATTGCCCACCTTGGAAGCTATCTGCTCCCGATGATTGATCACTCTTGATTGCGATCTATATTCCCAATTTATACTCTACTTCTTGCGGCTTGGAAGCAATGGAATTGAATTGAAAGCCAACCAGATGCTCATGATATCCGCAGTGTTGGATCTCAACACATTCCAAATTCATCAGACCGAGGTTTCTCAATAGGGGCGTTGCACAGGTTTGTCCAGAAAGTGCGTCCCAAGATTGCCTTTCGAATCCGGTTTCCCATGATTTTCCAATCGTTGGATTTTGGCGTACCCGACGCCGGTATTTTAACAAAGCATGGAGCCACCCTTAAATCATCCATGTTTTCTTTTGGATGTTCCATGACATAAACCATCTGGTTATTTAAACATAGCCATGGAAAATCCCCTTATAAAATTTATAAATGGAAGTTTTAATGGACATAAACCATCCAGTTTGGGGCTCCCCCATGGCTATGGAAACCTCCATATGAAAAAAAACGAGCAACTGATCGAACGTCTCGTTGCTCAATCCCCCACTCACCTGCGGCGTCAGCGGTCTGCCAAGCTTTTTCATGGGGGAACCCCAGTCGTCACTATGGTTGTTTCAATACGAGTCGTCATGGTCCAATGTTGGATGATCTGGGGTATCCCTGGAAACCTCCAATTTGATATTGTTTGGAATGCTTTGGCCAGTAATTAAGGTTGCGCCACGCGGCACAACCAGAACCAATTCTTGTCCCCTCCGAGGATGGTTAGTGTCCGACACAGTTGCAACCTTAAATTTCATCAAATTTCTGTGCACGTGAATGCACCAAAGCCACAGAGATGAGACTAATCAGAAGAAACTATACCCATAGGATCCATGTATGCTATATATGGTAACATTTACCATCAATATACCCCAAATGTTAGCATATATACCCTGTATATACCATACATGGATCCTATGGGATACAGGTATGTGTAGCACCGGCACCGTTGGCAACTGGATGATCCCCAAGATCCAGTCTCCCCAAAAAGCCGAATGCGGGGCGGGCCCGTCCTGAGGCAAACTTTGCAGTCGAGCTTGGCCATAGGTAATTTGTACAATGCGGCCAAGTACCATACCTGCGAGGGCCATGATGCCATGATATGCCATGGCTCATCTTGGCATATCTTGGCTACTGACAGCTAAGGAATCCTTATGAGCCAAGCAGGCCAAGCAACCAAAGAGTGGCACGCCGAAGAGCGCCAGGAAACCGATGGCCAAACGCGATCTCTCAGATTTCGGAGTTACATCCTGGGGCTTCAGAACTGATCAGACAGATACAACAGTATTAATGGTCTCTTGGGGATGTAGAATGATGGCAGGCCAAAGTGGAACTGTGGGAATATGTTGGAATATGACTGCTCATTACTAATCAACATTGACAATTAGATAGTGGCAATGGACTGTGTTCAGAAACAAAAGCTACACCATCTTCAACTCACCAGGGCACACCCAAAGATTCTGTTGCGACTCTACATTCCCATATTATGTCCCATGTTTTTTTGGGGGGTTATATGTTATTCTACTATTATCATACTATTATTCAATTATTTTTCCTATTAGTATATCAGTATATCCCTATCATCGGACTGTAGTATCCTGTATATCCCTATTAGTATATCCCTATACTATTATTCCTATAGATTCCTATGATATCCCTGTAATTATCCCTATATCTCGCCAAGCATCCCCATAGCCGATGGTCGCCAGAGTCACCACGCTGAAGTACAAGGGCTGGCGCGCTGGCGCGTTTTTTTGGGTTTTTCCCCCATGGACTTGTTATGGATGTTAGACTTTGAATCGTAGACTGATTTTTGTGGATTTGAGATGGACTTTCTTTAGCACTTTAGATTGATTTTTATGGATTGTTCATGGCTTTTAGATTGACTTTAGATGGATTTACATTGATATTATATAGATAGATACCCACAAAAAGGGCGATAGTCAAGGAGCTGGTCGCTACATTCCAGATCGGAGTGGACAAGAATGACTTGGACACGGAGAATCACTCATTTCCCAGAAACACCATGGTATCCATGGTTTGGCCAATTGTCCATTCTGACATGGGCCTCCCGAAATTTGCTGGCTTAAATGCTTATCATTGTTTCCTCTATAGAAAAACCATGAAACCACCTGAAGAACGCCTGAAGGCTTGTCGAACAAAACATGTTCGAACATGTTCCGAAACAAGGAAACTATTTCTGGGTATCCCTGTTCTACACCCAAATCACCTCGGACAGGAAGAAAACGCGAAAAGAAGGGTTGCCTCGGTCCAGTCGTACCAATCGGGTTCATCCAGTACCATTGTCTGCGCCACGATGCAACTGCACGTTAGCAACCTTGAAAACCACGGCCGCGGAACGGCAGGGAGACCAATTTTTATGGGATATTTACCAACAATACCAGGGATATCCTCTGGTGAACTAACATAGCAATGGAAAATCACCATTCTTAATGGGAAAATCCACTATAAATAGCCATTTTCCATTGCTATATATATTAGTTCACCAGAGGGTATCAATAAGATCTTTTGGACCATCAACAAACATATGCCCAGAAGAAATATCAAAATGCCATACCATATGTTGTCAAACCAACCCAAATGGAGTCTCCGGGAAATTTGTTTGGAGTCTACCGCCAAAACGTGAAATATGAAAAACTAATTAAATATGACATACTGTAGATGGGCCAATGAGTGAATTTCACCGCGGGCAGAACATCAAAGAACGCCAATGGCCGATGATGACGTATGAAATACTCAAAAACGCACAATCCTGCTCCAACTGTGAATACATGCAATATTCATATCCATTCCATATATTATATTGTTGGGTAGTGTGAATTCAGACTGTTCCCTCAAAAGCCTCAAAACAGTCCCATCATGGATGATTATATAAAACATAGAAATCATAGACATGTTCCAACATATTTCAGGTTTCGCATCAAATTGGAACATTCATCCCAGGCGGTACCATCCCAGCTACCTCCAATGTTCATCCAGGTCGCAACAATAAGAGGCCAAAACATTTCAGCATTTGAACCCGGAATTCCTTCCTGGCTGGGAACGGCAAAAGCTTCGGCTTGGAAAATGGTGGATTTCTCATGATTTCTCCAATTTCCTGATTTCTTGTTTGTTTATATAGATTATGTTTTGTTTATACCTCTAGAAACTCCTCGGGGAACTTTTTCCATCACTGTTTTACAGTTTCAAGAGGTATACCACTAGCTGTTAGACCTAGCCAAAATGCTTGGAGTATTTACCGACACTATTGCACAACAAACCAAATTTATATAAATATGTGCAGCGAGTTTTGTGACGGGGCATCCCATGGATTCCGATTTTGAGTTGAAGTAGCCCTGGATGAATAAACCCCAAACAGCTGTTCAATTGGGGGGTGCCATTTGACAAGTATCATATCACCATTAATATTTGAAGGGTAGACAGGTACCCCCACAATTTTCATAAACCATGGTTTATTAATTCGGGGTCCGTTATTCAGCATATCTTCTAATTGCACCGGGCATGTCTGCAAACCCATCCTGAGCCACCGTCCCAAGATACACCACAAAACCTCAGACCCCATATAGACCCTATGATTTCATCTCACACATTTCAGTTTTGATTTTTGCCGGAACAGCTCTCCGAGTTGCCCCGCGCATTTCCGCAAACCCATCTTGAACCACCGTCCCAAGATACACCACAAAACCTCAGACCCTACAGTTTCATCTCACACATCCCTGTTTTGAGCTTTGCCGGAACAGCCCTCCAAAAGAAATCCGTGAACTGAACCCCCCGCCTGAGTAGCTGATTTTTTGGAAACCATGTTTCGGGCTGTAAAAAACTGACCACATCCTTTTACAAGATACCCTCTGGTAATTTAACATAGCTATTGAAAATCACCATTTATAGTGGATTTTCCCATTGAAAATGATGATTTTCCATAGCTATGTTAGTTTACCAGAGGGTATCATGTTGAAATGCGACGTTTGATGAATTTTGGCTGCAATCCTGAGTTTGTTTGGCGAATCTCTGCCAAAAAAACAAAAAAACTTCTCATGGGCTGAAGACCGGCGCTTAAGGTGCAACAAAAAAATTACTTTACTTCGCGTGATCCCCACCATGACATTTATACATTTTCTTACTGGCAAATCTTCTGGCATTCTATCTGACATATCTTCTGGCATTCTATCTGGCATTCTATCTGGCATATCTTCTGGCATTCTATCTCGCATTCTATCTGGTATATCTTCTGGCATTCTATCTGGCATTCTATCTGGCATTCTTTGTCCCATATCTTCCTACATGAGGTCCGGCAGGGAACACTTGGCGTGGATACTCGCGGTTGAGGTCCGGCAGGGAACACTTGGCATGGATACTCGCGGTTGAGGTCCGGCAGGGAACACTGGGCGTGGATGGTCGCGGTTGAGGTCCGGCAGGGAACACTGGGCGTGGATGGTCGTGGTTGAGGTCCGGCAGGGAACAGTGGGCGTGGATGGTCGTGGTTGAGGTCCGGCAGGGAACACTGGGCGTGGATGGTCGTGGTGGAGGTCCGACAGAGAACACTGTGGATCGCGAGTCGCAGTTGAGCAGGAGGACGAGGAGGACAACGAGAGGAGGAGGAGGAGAAGGAGGAGGACGAGGAGGACGAGGAGGACCAGGCAACTGACATAAAATCTAACAACCCTCACCTGGCAGGTGGGGAAATATACATTGAAATTGATGGATGTTTATGGATGTTTATGGATGTTTATGGATGTTTATGGATGTTTATGGATGTTTATGGATGTTTATGGTACTATGGCAAATCCCAAAATAAAGGGCTAAAAAACTTGCGCTCCAGCTCTGGGTTTTCAGCCCAAAGGCCTGACCGGTGATCACTTTTTTTGGGCGCGGACGCTGGCTGAAATTCCAAGGCTTGACCTTGATATATTAAAAAAACACATAAAAGAGGTGACGTGAGTTGGGATGACACAAAGAGACCACCTGGATAGGAATACTCAAAAACAATGCCGTGATTTTGTCACCGCTAGTTGAGGTGCCATCCCTCCACCTAGTTTTTTAGTAGAAGTGCGACTCTTTGCTCAGTGCAGTTGCACCGAACTTTTGGAGTTTTAGTGCGAATTTGCTTGAGTTCTTCTCCCTCCAATCGACAGTCTTTTAAATAACAAAATGATACATCCAGGACCGAAACATGCACGTAAACAAGGCGCAAAGCCCCGCAAACGCGGTGCAAAAACCTGCAAAAAAGCGCAAATCTGGATTTCTGCCTTGAGGAACCTTGAAGGTTGTTGCCAAACCGCAAAATTCAATGGGAAATTGCCATCGCATTTGATGCGTGCTCGAAATGAACTCTTCTGAAGATCCTGAAGTTTGCCATTAGCTGATATTCTTGAAGATTGGCAGGCAAGGACCACAATAGGTCGTGTCCCAGGACTCAGAAGATCTTGTCACCCCTTTTTGCAGCTCAACACGCACGATGCAGAAATATCTGCATTTATACATGCAACAGCTGAAGAAACTACAGTGACATGGGAATAGGTCGCGGCAGAAAAAATCAGGACGCGGCAGAAAAGGTCTAAACGAGGCAAACGACCCAAAAAACTCAAACGAGGCAAAAAGGCAAAACGACCCACATATCCTGCTTTGTCAAGGGAGAGGTATTTTATATATGGTTGATATTTACAAATACAATCAACAACAACAGATTCAGGACTAATGGCTTACTGGTGCTTAGCAGGGAATGGATGGGACTGGGGGTTGCTGGGATGATTATCACTAGTGATTATGGAACATTCCCTCATTCCCTGCTAAGCATCAGTAAGATGATGATAATGATACTAGTAATGATTAAATTATATGTCTTACCCATCTCTGGTCCCGGATTCCTCTGGCCGGCTTCATCAAAGACTTCATGCCGAGGCCGGCGCAGCAGCAAACTTTTGCGCGCCTAGAGGCTGGTCAATATGAGCCCGTTTACATGAGAGTCAACACACGGTTCATCCCCCGAAAAATGGAAGAACAAAACATCACAAAAAATTACTTTACTTCGTGTGATCCCCACCATGACATTTATACATTTTCTTACTGGCAAATCTTCTGGCATTCGATCTGACATATCTTCTGACATTCTATTTGACATTCTATCTGGCATATCTTCTGGCATATGATCTGGCATATCTTCTGGCATATCTTCTGGCATTCTATCTGGCAAATCTTCTGGCATTCTATCTGGCATATCTTTTGGCACTCTATCTGACATATCTTCTGGCATTCTATCTGGCATATCTTCTGGCATATATTCTGACATATCTTCTGGCATTCTATCTGACATATCTTCTGGCATATATTCTGACATATCTTCTGGCATATCTTCTGGCATATCTTCTGGCATATCTTCTGGCATATCTTCTGACATATCTATCTGGCATATCTTCTGGCATATTTTCTGGCATTCTATCTGGCAAATCTTCTGGCATTCTATCTGGCATTCTATCTGGCATATCTTCTGGCAAATTATCTGGCATTCTATCTGGCATATCTTCTGGCATATATTCTGACATATCTTCTGGCATTCTATCTGGCATTCTATTTGGCATTCTATCTGGCATATCTTCTGGCATATCTTCTGACATTCTTTCTGACATTCTTTCTAACTTTCTTCTGCAAATTCTTTGTCCCATATCTTCCTACATGAGGTCCGGCAGGGAACACTTGGCGTGGATACTCGCGGTTGAGGTCCGGCAGGGAACACTGGGCGTGGATGGTCGTGGTTGAGGTCCGGCAGGGAACACTGGGCGAGGGTGGTCGTGGTTGAGGTCCGGCAGGGAACATTGGGCGTGGATGGTCGTGGTTGAGGTCCGGCAGGGAACACTGGGCGTGGATGGTCGTGGTTGAGGTCCGGCAGGGAACACTGGGCGCGGATGGTCGTGGTTGAGGTCCGGCAGGGAACACTGGGCGTGGGTGGTCGTGGTTGAGGTCCGGCAGAGAACACTGTGGATCGCGGATCGCAGTTGAGCAAGGACGACGAGGACGACAAGGACGACAAGGATGACAAGGAGGACGAGGAGGAGGAGGACGAGGCAGGAGGAGGCGGAGGAGGCGGAGGAGGAGGAGGAGAAGGAGGAGAAGGAGGAGGAGGCAACTGACATAAAATCTAACAACCCTCACCTGGCAGGTGGGGAAAAAGAAAACATATATCAACATATGGATTGCTGATCATGGGTTTGTTTTAACCTCCAAAAGATGGATTGATGAGCATCCCCCAATTTTTGACTCTTTTTCATCCACTTACATGCGGGTAAAAGACAAGAAACCAAGAAAAAAAGGTAGTTATTCCTACCCCGGGGTTCATGAGACCATTTGTGGCCGTTCCATGAAATATTTTTTCTGGTTGTCTTTATATAGATCATAATTAGATCACAATCTGCAGTACACCATTTAGGTCAATATTCCTGATATTGATGAATCCACCATCAACCAACCATCATATCAATCAAGATCCAGCAAAGGACCCGAAAACCAATCCCATATATATATATATACATATTTATATATATATATAGATAGATGATGTTCCCAGTAAAATCACTTCTCATCTCACCAAATATCATATGTTGGTTATTTATATATATCTCATGAAACATCCCCATCATATTCCTATCATTGCTAGCTTTATACAAACCTAATTTTACCTTACAATTGACACACATTGAATAAATTGAGGTATGCATACCATATTATAGGGGTAAATCCCATCAATATCTTATCACATCCTCATTGATTTTTGGTTTTGTACTTGTACCCAAAAAAACTCTGGGTCAAATGACCTACAGGCGCTACCCAGTAGATTTAAACCTTACTTAACCAATTTTTGGAACCTAAAGCAGGTATGTTTTCTCTCATCCCTTCTCTCCGATGAACCTGAAAAGTTCAGCCATAGTTACCTCAAATTCAATTCCTATCATGCCAGAATTCGATCGCAACGGGTTCGGTCGTGATCAAATTTATCTAGAACTATATACGCATTGTAGCCCCAGTATATCCCATTAATATCCCATATTGACAAATAAAGGGCCATGTGGTAGGTATTCTCCACTTGTGGACAAACCCAGCTATCCTCTTGTACTGTTAGTTATGTATTGTATCCCATCGATCTGGCTGAATAATAGTTCACTGATTGTAGAACCAACCATAAAATTCTACCACAACTGTTCCCATTATGTCCCCATTATATCCCACATATATTTCTGTATTACAGTGTTGAAATACATTATACATTAATCATTATATATATATATTTGATTATATGTATTAATATATTAATATATCCCATTGTAAATATAATATAATGATGTATACATATAACATACAATATTATATCCAAAGCTGCCGCTCGCCTTCTCGTTCTTCATCTCCAGCCGCACCATTCGGTCCAGAAACTCGCCCACGGCATGTGCCACGAGGACCCAGGAAACCAAAATCAGCAGCACCAACAACAAGCCTTAAAGGCTGTGGAATCGTGGAATATTAAAATTAATTATACTACTACTAGTACTAGTACTACTACTACTACTACTACTACTACTACTAGTACTAGTACTAGTACTACTACTACTATTACTACTACTACTACTACTACTACTACTACTACTACTAGTACTGCTACTAGTACTACTACTACTACTACTAGTACTACTACTAGCACTACTACTAGTACTAGTACTAGTACTAGTACTACTACTACTACTACTAGTACTAGTACTAGTACTAGTACTACTACTAGTACTACTACTACTACTACTAGTACTACTACTAGCACTACTACTAGTACTAGTACTAGTACTAGTACTAGTACTACTACTACTACTACTACTAGTACTAGTACTACTACTGCTACTGCTACTACTACTACTAGTACTACTACTACTACTACTACTACTACTAGTACTACTACTAGCACTACTACTACTACTACTACTAGTACTACTACTACTACTACTACTAGTACTACTACTAGCACTACTACTAGTACTACTACTACTACTACTACTACTACTAGTACTAGTACTAGTACTAGTACTAGTACTAGTACTAGTACTAGTACTACTACTACTACTACTAGTACTACTACTACTACTACTACTACTAGTACTACTACTAGCACTACTACTAGTACTACTACTACTACTACTGCTACTACTAGTACTACTACTAGTACTACTACTAGCACTACTACTAGTACTACTACTACTACTACTAGTACTACTACTAGTACTACTACTAGCACTACTACTAGTACTACTACTACTACTACTACTAGTACTACTACTAGCACTACTACTAGTAGTACTACTAGTACTACTAGTACTACTAGTACTACTAGTACTACTAGTACTACTAGTACTACTACTACTACTACTACTACTAGTAGTGGCATATTGGTGGATGAATAGTCTTGGGGGAATCATGGCCTATTAGCCACTAGTGGTAAACAAATGTAAACAGTAAATTGTTCATGGCATATTGATAATTGCTGAATATAGGGTAAGTTGTGATACGAATCGGGATAATGGGTAAACAAATGGATTATTCATGGGACAGTAATGCGGTATGACATATGAATGGGATATGATACATCGGATAGGGGTGCAGTTCCTGTGTTCCAGTGAACAAAGTGAACATCTCAACTCCCCCAAAAATAGAACTCCATCAACATCTACTAAAATAGTGGTGGGAGAATGGGATAATCGGATTATGCCATCCCAAATAGACCCTTAAGTGGTCAAGCCATCCCGCGATAGGCCCATTCTAGCCATGGAACAGTGGTAATCTATATCTATGTAATCATCCACTATCTATGTAATAATCCACTGTAGCCATTTAATCATATTTAATCCACTATCATACTGTGTCAACAATCTTTGAGCAAAACAGTGTGTCTTCATGCCAGCTTAAGTAGTGGAGCCATCCATCGGTCGCAGTTGGAACTTTGTGAACAACGTGGAGAATCCCTGATTTTTCTGGCGAAAAAAATGGGGAGTCCCAGCTCATGGATTATACGAAACAGCAGGTATCCATGCAAACTAGCTAACAATATGATATTGATAATGGTTTTGCATGGATTGTCAGTTGATTAGGTAACCAGAAACCATAAAACCAGAACTGAATCATTTATCATGCGTATCAACGCCCAATTTATCAAAATCGTGGGTCAATAGCCGCCCAAACAAATCATCCACCCACGCCTTTGGAAAACTGCTCCCTTGGGTTCCTACTTTGGACCCAAGGAATTTAATGGACTGGCCACAGGGGCTAGCTCTATTCGGATATGTCAAATTGGATCTATCATAATTGGTAAACTTCCCCATGTTTGCTGGTTTAGCCCCATTATCCACCAGTTTCCAATTTCAAAGGACCATAGTGAAGTGTGACTGGTAAAATGTCTATTATGCTTAAATCTTAAACGATGGTTCACTCCCGACATTTTTTTGGGAACCCCAGTTCGAAGTCCCAAGTAGAGACAAGCCAAAGGCCCAGTAGGTCGCAGCCAAGAGACGTGAAAACCAGTTTTTTGGAACTAAGTCACCATAGCCCACCGTCATCCTTCGACAGCGTGTGTAGACTTTTGCATGAATAGCCCGAAGGACAGCGACTTTGCTTTGAATGTCGACCAACAATGACAAACATCCACAAAACCAAATTAAATATTCATTTCAAATTGATATACGTACTACTTTATATTATATATATCTATATATCTGGTTATACAATGTTATACATATTCTAATACATAGCAAATATAAAATGACACAGTAGAGTTTGATGTCTTAAAATGCAACAAACATGAACAAGAAGAGAACCACGCCATTGCATGTGTTGTACACAACATGTTTACGGATTTCCCACCACTCGCAACCACAAATTCTGTTACTTGAATGTGCGCCCCACTTAGAAAGTGAATTGGAACGCATAATATATTTTATATTATATAATTATATATAATAGATGTAAATATCCAAAAAAAATATCCCAGTGGGATTAATTGGGTAAATTCCATGAATGCAACTGGGGGCATATGCTAACTTGGATGCATCCCAGTTCGCCAGTTTCGCTCAGCAAATCCAGGTTTCAGAGTGATGATGGCAAAGTACATGCAATCTGCATAGCCCCAACCTGCATGGCACCATGGCCACCATGGCCACCATGGCTGCTAAATCCTAGAGTGCTGGGTCCCAACCGAAATTGTCCATGTTTGATATGTTTGCACAGCTGCATTCGGTGTAATCCCTTAAATAGCAAACACATGAAATGATTCACGTTCCATTCGCCAAGATCAAGTCAGAGATGTTGCACTGACCGGCTTTCAAGCCTTGCACCAGGCTGATTCTATGCAAAACCAAAGATCAGTGTTTAAAAAAAAAAAACACCAAAAGTTGGACAAGTATGGATACCCTCTGGTAATTTAACATAGCTATTGAAAATGGTCATTTATAGTGGATTTACCCATTAAAAATGGTGATTTTCCATAGTTATGTTAAATTACCAGAGGGTAAGTTGGATGGCCGTTGCCCTTGATCTCACCCGAAACCTGGACCTTCCAGATCCCAAGGAACCTTCCAAGGTATGAAAGATCAAGCCGCACACCAGGAAATAGATCATCTCAGCGGCGTCGGAACTCAAAAATTGTCGAGATGATCTGGATATATCTGGAGAGCGTAGAATATTACATGTTCAATCATGTTCATATGTAAATATCTATGTATACGTATATTATATATATATATGTGTGTGACATGTGTGTTTAGATAGTTTAGATCCATGTAAATATACATCAAACAGAACGTTTCGGCTTTTGATGGCCATTAGGCGTCCGACAACATTGCAACATGCCTGCGAGATTCTTCAGCTGGAGAAATGGGATGTTCATGGTCAACAGCGATTCATAGATTACCCTCTGGTGAACTAACTTAGCAATGGAAAATGGCCATAGAAATAGTGGATTTTCCCATTAAAAATGGTGATTTCCCATAGCTATGTTAAATTACCAGAGGGTAATAGTGGTTTAAAATGGTCAGTAATGATGATTGATTATGATTGATTATGATTGATTATGATTGATGGAATTGCCCTCAGGTATGCTCAAACGTGGCTGGAAAATCCTCCATTGATTTCGATTTTGACTTTCCCATTTCAATGTTTTACAGAGGAATTCCCAGCCACGTTTGATTACCAGAGGCTACTTGTCTTGTCATTAAGTGTGACGTTCCACATTGGGGTGCCCCTTTGCATCTACCCTCTCACAATCAAATATGGCAATGGACAATCCATAGATGATGCCCATGTGGAGGGGATTTCCCGTTGCCATGTTTGATTCCCGGATGGTAGTCAATCATTTTATTATTCACACCATGACAGTATAACATAGTATAACCATTTTGCAGGCTTGCTCCCAACATCCCAAATACATCCAAATACTAGGTAGGCTAAGTTGGCTACATAAAAAAAAACAATTTCAAATAACGCAACCCTGTTTTGGGTGCCGAGCTGCCAAGGTAAAACAAACCCGGTAAAAACTTCGAATCCGGGCTGAAGTCCTGGTGTTTGCGGTGAAACCAACATCTTTTTCGGCATCACACTGAAGGCAGAACAGCATATGGTGGGGGTTTCCATAAATGGGGGGTTAAACAATCCCCGGCCCCAACTGGTTCAGGAGTAGGGGGGGTGGATCCTACATTTCTGATAATGTATGAACATAAGGGGGGGTTAACCCCCTCACTTTTTGCCAAAAATGTATGGGAACTAGGGGGGGGTAACCTCTCAAAATGAGGCATGTATGAGTGCCAGATGCTGGAAATGTATTATTGGTAGGGGTATTGAACCTGAAAATGTATGCTTTGTGGGGGGCACCACTGACAAGAGCCAATGGATACATAAACTTTTCTAAATGTATGCAAGCATGGGGGGGTCTGCACCTCAATCCAATTGATCTTTTCTTCCTGGGAAACCTACTGAAACCCATGGGCCATAAAATGGCTGAAATATCCCCCTTTGAATTAACTGAGAGTGTTGGTGCCCTGACCCTCTTTCTGAAAATGCATCTATAGAATCAGAGACCCCAAGGTATTTTCAAGTTGACAATCTCTATAGAATCGATGCCGCCAAGTCACTCTCGTAGATGGTTGGGGGGGTTAGTTGGCCTTCTATAAAATCAGGTTCCCCAAGTCTCCTTCATTGACAGCTGACCTGAATGCTCCAGTTACTCTTGCCTAGCTTGCCTTATGCACTCCCAAATTTATAGAGTTCAAAGGCTCCAAGTGTTCACTGTCAAACCCTTCAATTTCAAAGATCTTGAAAGTCGCTCTGTTTCATTTTGTTTCATTGTGTATCCATCTGTTTCCATCCGTTTGCTCTTTTTTAGCGGAAAGGCGGAAAGGCTGGCTCGAGGACTTCGACCCAAAAACGGTGAGACACACTGGGGAGACACAACGGGGAGAAAGAAAGGGGAGACACAACGGGGAGACACAACGGAAAAATGATGCAAAATGAAAAATGTCACTTTTATAGTTTGTAAACAAGAAAAAGCTTTTGTGAGATATTGAAATGTCAAAATTGTACATATTTGCTGAATATAACTGATGATAACTGATGAAACCCTGATGATAGATCTCCAACAAATCTCCAATATATCGCAAAAGTATCCAAAAGTTTCCAAAAATATGTCAAGATTCCAAATGATTCCAAAATATACAAGGATGATCAAGGATGATGAAGGATGATGAAAGAATTGTTGTGGGAAATTGGTTCTGCCAATGCTTCTCTATAAAATTGAAGAACATGACATATATCCAAAGAGAACGTATCCCACTGTAGAATCGCAGTCCCTAAGACTCTCTGCTGACTAGTCCTCAGTGTTGTATTCAACATGAAATCTCTATAGAATTAGAGGCCCCAAGGTCCTCTATAAAATTGAAACCGTTGACACTAAGCGTTGACACTGGGTAGGTACCCCTTATTAAGTCAGGGGGTTAAAACGCACCATTTTCCAGGAAGTAACGTTCCCGATTCTGTAGAGGAAATTCCAAGGGGGATGCTGAAATATACTTGATCTTAAATATTCTGAAATGTATGCATTGCAGGGGGTACCAATGACTACCTTAGCCAGATCTATTCCCTCCATTTTCCAAAAATGATGTGCTTTTCGGCTACCCAACCCCCTTAAAATACATTTTTCAAAGAAGGGTATTCCCAGAAAAAAATTAAGCATTCCCGGGGATCCTGGAAAAACCAAACCCGTAAAATGTATTAAACCACCCCCCCAAAATAAAAGATCCTGGGGGGGGTTGGATATCCCGACCCATGGATCCTACATTTAACGTACACCCACCGGTCAAATAATGTATTTAGGGGGGGTCCTGGGGAATCAAATTCTTGGAGAACGGTAAATGTATTTTTTTTCCCCAACCTCTCCCCCCCTAAAATACATTTTTAGGGGTGGGTGATGTTAAACAACAATCAGGTTTATTTCATGGAAAACCCCAATCTAAAATAGATGATTTGGGGGTACCCCCATTTTAGGAAACCTCCATATAGATCTCACTTGTCAGCTTTTCAAACATTCCTTCAAGGCGGTGATGATGTTCGGACCCGGCGCAAAAGGATCTTACAGTCTGATCCAGGTTTTCCTCTTGGTGCGATAGGATCTTCTGGTCGTTCATCCCCCGCTTCAGAATCTTCCCCATCCACCTCTAGTTTCTCATCCCATGCCCTCCTGTTTGTCCCTCTTCAGCTTCTGATCTTTTTGGGCTTTCCAGGGGCCATCATGCAAACCCAAGACAGGGAGATTGCCAGCACCATAACCCAAGCGTCACGGTCACAAACAGGCACGTAATTATCCAGCCGGAATGCCTTGTATGGAAACAGCATAAACACATGATGAATTGTTTAAATAAATAGCAATCCATTCACTGCTAGTTTATTGTTGTCGTTGGTTGACCGTGAGGCACGTTTCAAACATTATGATTATGATCATTGCCTTTTCTTGCAACAAGTCTGCGAAACCATGCAATGGGAATTTCAGCAATGAAATCTGGATCTATAGGTTTGTCTCAAAATCAAAGGTTTATCCAAATATCCCCAATCTATGGCAATTGACATAATGACATAAATCAAGATCAACCACGGACTTTGGGGCACCCTATTTCAAACCCAGCATAGTTCATGGTGGAAACACGGATGATCATGGATGTCCCAACCCAGTTCTTTGGACTTGCTGGGCACAACCATATTCCGACGTAGATTTCCTGCACCCATCATTTTCAGTGGAGTTGCCACTCAGAAAACCATATATGCAAACATATGAAAACCCCCAAACCGCAAATCTGCTTTTGTTGATGTTTCCACAAGTGGCCACGCCCGTTCGCACTCCTGCCGAAAATGATCTGCAGTGCGTTGCGTTGCGGTTCTCGCTTCATGTCCAATTTCAAGCGTTCGGGAAGTCGAAAATCGTAGAAATCGTTCTTGGACAATCCCCAAAGCAACACCTGGCGACTCATTGGGTGTGACCAAACCTATTGTGTTAACCGTTAACCGTTGACCATTCAATATTGGGTATGTGATGTGTGTTTAGTTGTATTTATCAGTATGGGGTGGAAACTGTCAATGATCCCTTCATCCCAACTTTTTGTGAAAAGAAACGCTCAAGACTAGCCTAAGGACTAAAGTGCAGACCCCAATCGTGTGAATCTGTGAGAATGACTGCCATTCCACAATTTCCTATTTCCTTACGCGTAGTCTGCAAGAAACTCTCGTTGCAGTTTCCCATCCCCATGCCTAGACATCCCTAGGGCAAGTCCCTGGAGATAGGTTCTGCAGTTTGTTTTTTTTTGATTTTTTTGGTTTTCTTGAGGTTTTGGCACATTCTCATCTCTGCGGAGGTTTTTATACTACGACCTGCTACGACTCGAAACCATTAAGGATCAATATTCCACTGTTGCTGTTTCATTTCCCGACTTCTTTTTTGCAATTATGCATATCATGCCTTGTCCGTGTGCTGCGGCCAAACCTAGGGTAGACACTGGAAACAAACTAGACGACGGATGGCCCGAGAGCGTAGAGGAGCAGGGTCTTCTCTTGTTAGTATGGAGACACCATATTACAAAACAATATATTAAAGATGTGTTATAGGCAGTCGAGAAGAGGAGTATCAAGACAATATAGCATAAGTACAAGACAATAGTTTGCATCGTAAACACTTTTACACACAGAAGCTTTTACACAGAGCAAACTTTTACACAGAGAACCCCTTACACAGAGAAGCTTTTACACACAAGGCACTTTTACACACAGACACTTTTACACACACACACACGCTTTTACACGCAGACACTTTTACACACAAACGCTTTGACACACAGACACTTTTACACAACAGAAACTTTTACACACAGACGGCTTTACACACAGACGCTTTTACACACAGAGGCTTTTACACACAGAAGATTTTACACAACAGAATCTTTTACACACTGACGGCTTTACACACAGACGCTTTTACACACAGACGCTTTTACACACAGACGCTTTTACACACAAACGCTTTTACACACAGAAGTTTTTACACACAGACACTTTTACACACAGACACTTTTACACACACACGTTTTTGCACGCAGACACTTTTACACACAAACGCTTTTACACACAGAAGCTTTTACACACAGACACTTTTACACACAGACACTTTTACACACACACGCTTTTACACGCAGACACTTTTACACACAAACGCTTTGACACACAGACACTTTTACACAACAGAAACTTTTACACACAGACGGCTTTACACACAGACGCTTTTACACACAGAGGCTTTTACACACAGAAGATTTTACACAAAAGAATTTTTTACACACTGACGGCTTTACACACAGACGCTTTTACACACAGACGCTTTTACACACAAAAGATTTTACACACAGAAGCTTTTACACACAGAGGCTTTTACACATAGAAGATTGTACACACAGAAGCTTTTACACAGACGCTTTTTTACACAAACACTTTTACACATAGAAGCTTTTACACACAGACACCTTTACACACAGAAACTTTTACACACAGACGCTTTGACACACAGACACTTTGACACAGAGCATTACACAAACGCTTTTAAACAGATGCTTTTACACACAGAAGCTTTCACACACAGCACACAGAAGCTTTGTACACACAGAAAAAATCGCAATTTTACCTCAGTTTTGGGCGATCGAACCTCGTTTCGTGCGAAAGGGTTGCGTTTCGTGCCGTCTCGCTGGCACTGCCCCTGCCCCCGCCTTCAGAAGAGAAATAGAAAAGAAGGAGAAGGCAAGAGGGGCAAGAGGGCAAGAGGGGCAAGAGGGCAAGAGGGCAAGAGGAGAAGATGTGAAGATGTGAGGCTGTGAAGATGTGAAGATGAGAAGATGTGAAGATGAGAAGATGTGAAGATGAGCAGCTGTGAAGATGAGAAGATGTGAAGATGAGAAGATGTGAAGATGAGAAGATGTGAAGATGAGAAGATGTGAAGATGAGAAGGTGTGAAGATGAGAAGGTGTGAAGATGAGAAGGTGTGAAGATGAGAAGGTGTGAAGATGAGAAGGTGTGAAGTTGAGAAGATGAGATACAGACCCCCACTATTGGAAGAACCCTGCGCTCAGACGCTCTCGGGAAAAAAAACTACTGGAAAAAAAAACTACTCTCCACACTGGAAGAAAACTTAAGACACTTGAAAAAAACTTAAGAATCTGTATTTTGAACCTTTTTGCAGCTGAAATCTCGTATTTGTACAATATGTGCAGGGTTTGGGCACTTGAACATGCAATTGCATGATGTTTAAAGCGTTTTGGCCTTGAATATATAATTCAATTTTATGTGCAACTGAAATCCTTAATCGGACAATATTTGCAGGGTTTGGAACTTAATTGTGCATTTTGCATGGTATTTAAAGCGTTTTGGCCTTGAATCCCTTGTTTGCACCGTGCTCGCAGCATCTTGGAGTTAGCATCTGTACTACGCCAGGGATTATCTGCAGCATTTCGTGTTATTTGCAAAATATGGTCTAGAGTTAGTTTTTGGATCTATTTCAGGTTGGTTAGGGTGTATTTGGGAGATCACAGGATGAGAAGGGTAGAGGACCAGGGTGAGGAGGGTAAGGGACCAGGGGATCAAGAGGACCCAGGGACCAGGGGATCAAGGAGCAGGGGACCAAGGGACCAGAGGACCAGGGGACCAGAGGACCAGGGACCAAGGGACCATCTTAGTTTTTTCCCAGGAAACTTAGATTTTTTTCCAGTATCATCCCCCAAAGTACTCTCCGTCGCCGGAGCCGGTTAAGGAAAAAGTCTTCTTGTTTGTCACTCACGCTCCAACTCTTCTGCTTCTTTGCTTGTTTGGTTACATGAGGTCATACGACGCCGACTATGCGAGCTCTTCTTTGATGGGTTGCGCTCTAGGATGCACTTCATAGCACCTTTTTTACATGATTCGAACTGATCTCTGTTGTTTGCTTGCAAACTTAATCTGTCACTGTCAGAGCTTGCTCATCCCTCACTGCTTCAACTTTCCTATCAAAAACCTCACTTTCTGCCCCATGAGGTCTGATTATGCAGAGTGGACTGACGAGAACGTGGCAATTGTTTGGATTTTTTCATGGCACCGGAGTCTCTTGGCTGCATGAAGATGATTTACACTTCTGTCAACTCTACTTGTTTCAACTTCCATAAACAAATCATTCTTCACCTTATGAGGTCTGACCAGGATGAGTGGATGGATGACGCCTTGAATGTGCCACCCCTGACTCCGGAGCTGCTTGGTTGCATGTGAGTGAATTATACTATAATCTCTGCTTTTTGTCTGCAACCTGTCGACAAAAACCATCCACTCTTCACCTCATGAGGTCTGATCCTGATGTGTGGATGAACGACGTGATGAATGCAGTCAGTGCCCGTGACTCCGGGGCTGCTCGGCTGCATGGATGTGATCTAGTCTATAATGCTACCTCAGTCTGCTGTCTGTCTACAACCTTACTTCCTGCAACATTTTGCGTTGAAGAAAAAAGTTCGTTCACCCTGCCCCCTGCCAGGTCTGACTATTCCGAGGGGATGGACATAGCACCTGGGACGCCACCAGAGCTATTTGTTCCAGCGCCATTCACTCCATTGGAAGACATAGTGCCCTTCACGCCGTTGGGCCCACCCCCCCGTACACCACCAGAAGCTTTTAAATGGTGGTACGGGGGTGCGTGAAAGAACGGGAAGTGCTTGGCAAGCTAATTCCTCAACCCAGATTATATGACAGAATGCAACATCTAATTGTTTGTCAATGGGTTAGCAAATTGTGTGTTTTTGCATGCATCTTCCTGTTCTAATTGATTTGCTGTGTTTCAAGATGGACTCAAGGCGATGCAAAAAAGAATTGCAGCGCCTTTGCGTTGACACTTCAGCAACTGCAAAATTTGTTGCCTTGTCAATCACATGCCAAAAAAAACAATTTGCACTGCTCACTTTCTTGTATTTCCTTGCCTTATCTGGCTTCATGCAGCAATATTGTACCAATAAGAAACTTCTCCTCCCTCCCATATCTTCATCATGGTGTCGGTGCTTTCTGATGACATTCACTTGGAGCATGCAGTGACTGCAACACAATCCCTCTTCTTGAGGGATCTTCCCACACGCGTCTGTGTAGGCCCCATGCCACCAGGCGCATTGCTGGCAACTGATCTTCCCCTGAAGGATTTGGCCAAGCATCGAGCATTTCGTGGACATCGTCCTGGACACCCCGAAATCCAGCATTGACATGGACAATCTCAAGGCAATCTTTAGAGACCAAGCCTGGGATGAGCTCCCGGAGGTGATGAAGCTCAAGGACCGGCCCAACTTCAAAACAATCATCCAGTACTTCTTTCTTCCTCAAAATGATGATCAGCTATGTCTCCTCAAACATGTCTATGTGGCCGCTGACAAGGTGTCCAGTGGCTATGTTCAATCCCTTCTTCGAGGCAATGGAAAGGAGATCGCATGGGGCCACCAGAACAAGAAGCTTCTCAGAAACGCCTTTCAATGGATGCTGGGGCAGTTGGGGGGGTGCAATTCAGAAAGTATAGTCTTACTCCAGAAAAGCGAAAGCCTGCATCAAGTGCTCCTGCACCTGAGAATGACGGGTGGCAGTTCATCCAAGAGCATGGTGAAATGGACAATAGTGATCTGAAGCAGCTCAAATGGATCCATCACCATATCAACTTGGAAGGTTGTCCCATCCATGGTTGGCAGGAATGCTTGGTGCAGAAAGCTTTGGATTCCCTGGCTAAAGATTCAAACAGCCAAGCTGTGCCAAAGATATGATCTCACTATTGTAGAATTTGAGCCAGAAACCAGAGACATCATGGAAAAGATAGTTCCTTCTCTGCGACATCATGCGTTGTGGCTTTTGGGTGAAGCAGGCAAGGGAAAAACGCCATTGGGACGTGTCATTGCTATGATGTTTTCCAGATATCACGGAGGCCAAGGAA